TCCATCCACACACTTCATCTTGGGCTGCTGGAGGACAATACATCAGTGCCTTCCCCTCACAACTTTGGGGAGGTGAGCACTTCTCTTAGCCTCATGAGCTTCTTCCAGATTACTTAAGAGATTTTACAGCCTCGTTTCTTCAAGTTAAAAAGCTTGTACCTCTCCTAGACTGTAAGCTCCCTGAGGGCAGGAATCTTGATTGAACATCAGTCGATCTCTCACAGTGTCTTATACATAAGCATACACTTCACAGTTATTGAATGAATAAGTGAATAAACAAGAGTTGTGTCAGCCTGTTTCCTGTCAGTTTCAGTGGGTAAGGAAAAGGATCAATGGTACCAGAATCACAGAGATGTAGAACCAGGAGAAGGAACTGGCTGCTTCTTTTCCCCCACCCTCAAAGACAGCAGCAAGAAGGACTGAGTGTAGATTTCATGCACCAGGAAGGACCAAGGATGGAGAGTTTGGAGAAGAAAAAGGGATGCACTTCTATTTGGGCTAGGGGACCTAATCTGTCCTGCCCAGAGGCAAGGAGATGGACACAGTGACTCAGAGGAGCCAAGAACCAAGACGGGCATCCCCAGGGTGGAGTGGAATGTCTATTTACAACCCCTCACTCTCTGCCATTCGTGCTTCTTCCACCCCAGATGAGTAACTCAGAAAGCTGACATCACTCTTTTTTCAGCACCCTGGGTCTTGTTTTGGAACTAAATCTCACTCAGCTGCTTTCCTGGCCACCTACACAGCTAAGAAGATAGATAAGAGCATCTGAGAAAGTGATTGAAGCCTCAGGGAAAGGAGAAGACAGGTCGACTGGAAGTGAAGGCTCACACCTCTGATGACCTTGGGCCAACTCCTTCTCCAAGGACTTCCTCACTGACAGTCCTTTACAGGAGGAGGAAAGTAGGACTAGAAAGGCAGAAGGACTTGCCCAGGGATATAGGAAGAATCTGGATTCCGGAATCAGGTCTCTCAATTTCTAGTCCTTGACTTCTCTCATTTTCCAGCTTCCAAAACCCCACAAATGGAGTTATATTATTACTATATTATATCACAAATTATATTATAACTTGTATATTTAAAAACTGAATTTGTTCGGCTCAATTAAATTCAACAAATATTTATTAAATACTTACTATGGGGGGTAGCTAGGTGGCAGAATGAATAGAGGACTGGACCCAGAGTCAAGAAGATTTGAGTTCAAATCCAGTGACCCTGGGCAAGTCACTTAACCCTCTTCACCTCAGTTTCCTCATTTGTAAAATGAGCTAGAGAGAGAAATGGCAAACTGCTCCAGTATCTCTGCCAAGAAAACCCCAAATGGGGGTCACAAAGAGTCAGACATAACTGAATAACAACTGAACAACAAAGTGCAAAGGATTGTGCAAGGCACTAGGGAAAGAAAGACAACGAAACAGTTCCTGACCTCAAGGAGCTAACACTCGTACATGAGAGGAAAGGACATGCACAAAGATAAACACAAGATAATTTTAGAAAGGAGAGAGCACTAGCAATACAGAGGTGTGTGTGTGTAAGAAAGAGGAGAGGGGAGAGAGAGAAAAAAAGAGAGAGAGAGACAGAGAGACACACAGAGAGAGACAGAGGGAGAGAAACAGGGAGAGAGAGACAGAGAGAGAATGAGAGAGAGAGAAGAGAGAGAATGAGAGAGGAGGAGAGGGAAATCTTGTGGAAGTTGGGATTTTTAGTTGGGACTTTGAAAAGCCAGGGAAGCCAGGATGCAGAGGTGAGGAGGAAGGGCATGTCAGGTGTGAGGGATATCTAGTGAAAATGCCTAGAGTTTGGAGATGGAGTGTTAACAAGGAGGCCAGTGTCATTGGGATCACAGAGTACATGGGGGAGGGGTTGTCAAATGAGACATAAGAAGACTAGAAAGTCTAGGAGGGAGTCAGATCATGAAGGGCTTTGTCCACCAAACAGAGAATTTTATATTTGATAACCAGATAAGGGACAACTCCATCTCTTCCTTCCTTGATGCCTGCTCAGATAAAGCACAGGGTAGTAGGAATCTCTTGTCTTGGAGAGAGCAGCTCTGGGATGCGGTGAGAAGAGCACTGGATTAGAAGTTAAGAGCCTGGGGCTTCCATGACCCCACTGTGGGATTTTGGGCATATCTCTGGGCCTTAGTTTCTTTATCTGCAAACTAGGAGTTGGTCACAATGTCCTCTAAGGTCTCTATTCACTCTGACACTCTAATTCACTAAGTCTAAGGCAGGGTTTAATTCCAGTCTCCTAGAAGTAGAGGGATGGCTGAAACGACCTGAAAAGGACCTTGTCAAGGGTCTGGATTCATTAGAAAAAAGGGGGAGGAAAGCCACAATTTTCTTTCAGTCTTTTGTATTTTATGGTATTGTTCCAACCCAGATCTGTTTAGGTGCTGTACCTGACCCCTACAGTGTTGAACACTGGGATTTCCTGGATCTTCTTTTCGTGCGGTAATATTCATGTGGCTCAATGCCTCGTCTCCCATCATTCCTCTGGATGGAGTGGGGAATCTTCATACATATGCCTTTTTAGTCCTCAAACTTCACTGAACATCTCTCTTTCCTGAAACTCTTTCCTCTTCCTCTTCTTATCCTTCAAAGCCAAATGCTTCTTCTTCCAGACTTTACTCTAGACTCCTCCTTCTAGGATGCTTTCCTGGAAGAAACCATCCTCTGAACTCTGCCTAAATGCTTCTAGGTTCTGCCCTTCTCTGTCTGTCTCTGACATATGTATACATGTTTTGTTTCTCTCTTGAGACTGGGAGTTTACTGAAAACAGGGCCAATATTTTCTCTTCCATCTGTACCATCTCCTAGCTATCCTGCCCTGCCCCACCCCCAGCATCCAGGACATGTGGAAGGACAGGCTGACTGATATTCCCTGTACTATGATGCAATGGATAGAGCACTGGACCTGGAATAAGGAAGACCTGAGTTCAAATCTCACCTTAGAAACTTCCTAAGAGGAAAGTGTTTGACCCTGGACCAGCCACTTAATCTCTTTCTGCCTTAATTTCCTCATCTGTAAAATGGGAATAACCTCCTAGGGCTGTTGTGAGGATAAAATGAGATACTGTTTGTAAAGAGCTTTACAAATCCTGAAGTGCTATATAAATGCTAGCTATTACTATTATAAATAGGTAGCTAGGTGGTACAGTGGATAGAGGGCCGAGTCAAGAAGTCTTATCTTCCTGAGTTTGAATCTGACCTTGAATACATACTAGCTGTGTGACTCTGGGCAAGTAACTTAACCCTGTTTGCCTCAGTTTCTTCATCTGTAAAACAAATTGCAGAAGGAAATGGCAAACCATTCCAGTATCTTTGCCAAGAAAACTCCAAATGGGGTCATGAAGAATCGGACATGACGAAAGAACTGAACAACAAATTCTACTTCTTCTTATTACCCTCTAGTGCCCTGAAAAACAGAATCTCAGGACTGGGAGTGACTTTCATGACCATCTGGTCCAGCTTACCTCCTAACAGGAATTTCTTCAGCGTCTCAACAAATAGTCTTCACTTGAAGACTTCCTGTATTGGGGAACTCACTGTGTCCAAAGGCAGCCGTTTAATTGGCCCCAATTAATATGTGTGTGTGTGTGTGTGTGTATGTGTGTGTGTGTGTGTGTGTGTGTGTGTGTGTATGTGGAGAGAGAGAGAGAGAAAGAGAGAGCCATTGAACTATTTAAAAAATGCACAGGAGAAAAGGAAGCATAGACAAACAGAACAATTTTGAAAGTAACATGAAATTTATTATATGCTTTTAAAAAAAGCAAGTGGTTATAAAATGGATACTCATATTTTCATATGCAATCCTCTACCTGTGTTTTGCTGGGTATGTGGAAAATCTCTCTCTCTCTCTCTCTCTCTCTCTCTCTCTCTGTCTCTCTGTCTCTCTGTCTCTCCCTCCCTCTCTCTC